CAAAGTTTGTACTAAAAACAAATAGGGTGCCTAAGACTTTTGCGCAGTACTGTCAGCAAGTCAGAATTTCAGCATGTGAAGGGTTTTCCCAGACCACCACACACCTGAACACACATTCAGGTGTGTGGTGGTCTGGGAAAACCCTTCATATATATAGTATAGAACTAATATATATATTTCTGAAAGCTGCAGGCTTTCCTGAACTGTAATAGATTTAATAAATTCCGTTGTGACACTGGAGCAGCCGATGTCTAATTATAAACCAAACTGATTAAGCTTATGTCTGTTTCGATATCCAACAAGAAGTGCGGAATTCAGTGTGCGAGGAAATTTCACATAGATAGGAAGGTTTTAGTCATCTTTACACACGACTTTTAATGTAGAAGTCATAAAATAAAAACCTATAACAAAGTTTGTACTAAAACATAGGGCGACTAAGGCTTAGTACTGTACATTATATACGTTACATATTTCAAAAGCGTGTATCTTTAATGCTGCATATGGATGATAATTAAATTGGCAGCGTGTCGTCTCTGCAGATTTTGTTAACTGAACTAATATGTAAGGAATAAAACACTTTGCGATGTTCTGTTATAGGAAAATAATCAACGACCAGGTGGTGTGATGCCAGCTGAGGTGAAGTGGAGTTACTGTTACCACCCTGAAGTTGATTAGTTATCAATAAGCGCGTCGCAAAGTGTTTTATTCCTCTCATATCACAGCAAATTTGCCAACTATTACAATTTTTAATTAATTACATCATGAACATCCACAAATCGAGTTAGCTATCGCTTACATCGCAACATTTTATAAACAGTCGTTCCCTCAGCAGGCTCTCTTTTCTCTCTCTGTCGCAGTTAATTAGCTCGAGAAACTGCACATCTTCCGTCCCGAAGACTTTCCCATGGCCCAGAACGTTAAGGAGCAGCTTTAGCCATGACTGTTATGAAGCGCAGACGCTCGAGACTCCTTTCTAAAATGCTAAATAACCTTCTCCTTAGAGAAATCATCACCATAAGCAAAGATTAGACATTTTCCTTTGTTAAGGAACTCCACATTGTTAATCTGGTCACTTTCAGCCTTGGATCATGTGGAGCGCTGGCCATACAAATCCCTGTGAGCTGTTAGTATGGACGTGATAACATTATTAGAACGAGGGCATTACGAACATGAACACCACCCTGTGATTTGAATTACAGTCAGCATTACTGCCAGAGCTGCTGCTATAGGAAATTAATCAACGCCTTCTGACCAATCAGATTAGAGAATTCAACAGCGAGTATTTTGTGAAAGTATTTTGGGGTCGTATTTAATATCAAACCGATTTTACTGTAAACATTAATCAGGCATTGATAATGTCTGTGCCTTGCTTTTGCCTTTCCACCTCCTTCCCCAACACCCTCCCCTCTCTCTCTCTCTCTCTCTCTCTCTCTCTCTCTCTCTCCCTCTCTCCCTCCCCCTCCCTCCGTCCCTCCCTCTTTCCTCACCTCTGGGTTTTGGCTCCCATGGATGGCAATGGCTTTGGGGGCTGGTCGGAGCATTCCATGCATACCTCTACCCCTCTTCCACCATCTGTATCCTGCATTCCTCACATACTGCCCCTCTCCGCTTCCTCCCCCACACTCTCTCTCTCTCTTTTCATTCCATTCACTTTATCTCTATCTCTTTCGCCTCGTTCGTCTGCTCTGCACTGACTCATGCACTCCACCAGCAATTGTAGGTTAAAAAAAGTTTGTGCACAGTCTTTTGTAAACAGAAATGTCTTTTATTCTTTTGTCATTGATATATTTTGTCACATGGTTCTGACTGTCGTTGTGTCGGCGCAGGCAGCTGGTGCATGTGTGCAGAGACAGATGTAACGTCCAGGCTGGTGTACATTTCCCATGGAGGCGTAGTTTGTCAAATGGGGCCGGGGCTTTGTGCACACACTCTGCAGGCTACGGGAAACAAACACATGCCCTTGCAGTGTGTGGACGAGTGTTTGCACTGAGCTGGAACTCGTCTTGGCTGGGAAGCATTTAGATAAAACTGCGTCTCTGCTCACATGCTGGAATTTGGATATAAGCTATTAGAATTGGGAGATTATTATGATCATTATTATTATTATTATTATTATTGCACTACTGTTTCATAAACTGCACAGTCATGTTGGTTTGTACACATAGTTTGGTTTTTAATTGCACGCCTTTCTTTTCCATACGCACATAGCTCCTATATTTTTGTTAAAGGGGGGGGGTGGGTGAAATGGCAAAATCTTATGTATGAAATAAAACATGACTGGGTATGCTATTATAAGAAAACAATCAATGTTGTAGTGGTGTGACCTGGCATGTCCCGTAACAGCACATCACAGCAAACAACAACAACAGCAAGTGTTTTATTCCTCTTATACCACAGCAATTTGTCATCAATTACAATTCTTCAATTATTAATGAACGACACATCACACCTTTGACCGCTGATAGATATATCTTATGTCCTGGAACACCGCCTAGCTTAGAAGAGCAAAAAGACACAGCATGTCATGTTACCGCGTCGGAAAACAGGCGGTAACAGAGCTCTGATGCTCGGAACTCCTTCCATAAACGTTAAATGAGCGCCTCATTAAGGAAGACTTCTCCACGTCAACGGTTATATGCTTTTGCTTGTTTATTATTAGTCTAACGTTATGTATGGTGTCCACCACACATTAATATAAACCTGAAGTAAAATGTGAATTAAAGCCAGCTGTATTGTCAGAGCTCCTCAATGCTATCAGACAAATAATGATACATTTTATATATATACAAAATATATTATTTAAAAAATAAAAAAAAGTTTCTTTGTCCATTAGGTACTTGTGAGTGTGAGTACTAAGTTTAGACACGCAGCTGGAATTAGACTTTTTTTTGAGACTCGAGTTGGAAAGATTTTCTGCAGTATAAACAGCAAAATCGGATTTTAGCGATGCCCGCGTGTGAGAAACACTTTAAATACGGATTTAGGAAAAATTCAAGTTTGCTGCGTGGGGAGAACGCGGCTTAAGCGTACTGACAATGCTTTAGCAAAAAAGAATACTCGAAAAAGCGCAAATTTAGTACAGTTTTCATGCCATATCATAATATATCGTTCAGCATTACTCTGTATAGGGTAGGCATATTTCAGACATCAATAACAACTAAAATAATTTACAGAAGGGGAAAAAAATTACACTTCCAAGCACAAAAAAATTTGACTCCAAACATTACAGAGCTGACCCAACTCTTTCCAGAACCCTTTCTAATGACCGTGGAGTTTCATCCGCAGTAGCAAACAGTGTTTTGCTTGACAGTAAAGATAAACAAGCGTGGCAGAGCTGGGAATACGTATTTAAAGCGAGAACTGTTATTTCACGTCACATGGCTCACATCATGGTGCAACATGCCCTTTATCCGACTGTTTGTTTGTGTCTTTTCCAGATGGTCCTGGTGCAGGTCAATCCAGGAGAGACATTTACTGTACGCACAGACGATGGCCAGATTCAGTGCATTACAGGTAAACACATACACACACACACGCACGCCACCACATACGCACCCATGCATGTTCAGGTTTTGTCAGTGGTACTTAATAAATAGACCCTGTGTGTGTTCAGGTCCAGCGCAGGTGCCCATGGTGTCCCCTAATGGCACCGTGCCTCCCATTTTTGTGCCTCCAGGTTACATATCTCAGGTACTATCACTATCATTTTGGAATAGTATTTTGAATTACGAGACATTTCAAGCAGAAATATTGATTGGGGACTTCTAAATGCAAGGAATGTTTTGTGGTCTTGTGTGTCCCCTACAGGTGGTGGAGGAGAACGGCATGTGGAAGGTGCTGGTTCTGCCTCATACGATGGAGTTTCATCCGTCGTTACCCCCTGTACCTCCACATCTCCCACTGTACACCCCGCCACAACCAGCCATGCTGCACCACCCACACTTTTACCCCACCGAGCTCTCTCCTCACTACATTCACCAGCTGCCTGCGCTTCCTGTCTACACTGAGCAGGGTGAGCAGGAGCACACACTCCCACACACACTCCCACACACACACCTAATACATATTATACAGGCCCAGGAGCTACCACGACCCCTAACCAGGATACAGCGGTGAATGAAGTATTGACCTCCTGCTAAGATTGCTGTGCTCTAAATTATGATTCGACAGGCCCAGTTTTTAAGATTGTCATGTGGGTGTGTTTGGGTGTGGCATATACACGCACTGCCCACTCTATTAGGAACACCTGTACACTTGCAATTGTCCAATATCAGCCAATCATGTGGCAGCAGCGCAGTGCTTGAAATCATGCAGATGCCGCTCAAGAGCTTCAGTTAATGTTCGCATCAGAGGAGAATGGCCAGACTGGTTTGTGCTGACAGGAAGGCTACGTTTTTCCCGATCTTCACCTGTCCGGTTTTGGTGAGCCCGTGCCCACTGAAACCTCAGACTAGCTCATACTAGTCCAGCCATTGTCCTCCTGTCTCAGAACCGATGCCCACTGGATGTTTTTTGTTTTTTGCGCCATTTAGGGTTTCACACCATTTTGTACGAACTCTAGAGATTGCTGTGCGTGAAAACCCCAGGAGTTCAGCAG